ATAAATGTTGATTAGTCACTTTCTTGGTGCTATTTTACAAATCAGCACATGATAAGTAGTCCTCTCCAACAACAAAGCTCTAAAATCAAAGTGAAAATCCATAGGCAGTGTCTTTATTGCTCCCACAGACCTATTCACATTTAGGGCCTCAACAACATTCTCTTATGTCTTCTTGGTTCTCCACATGACCTATGACTACCATTAGTTCTCAAATGCTGTGAAGTGAGAAACTCCCTCCCTTGAAACCATGATACCCACCAGTAAAACAAAGTACTGCCTACCTACTGCCCTGTCCTGGAAATAGATTCTCCTAAAAGCACTGAGCCTCTGAGTTTCCACACCTAGTTGCCTGTGACTTTGGCATTTGAAGCAACACACTAATATGTGAATATGACTACTAAGGCTTCCTTAATATATGGTAGAGCCAAACCCAGACTCACTGAAACCTCTAATGTCAGCTCCATCTGACCTGATGTCAAGGTATTACACATCGATAACCAACACCAATCAACAAAAGCTATTTAAGTGAAACTTCTCACCATTGTGCAAAATGTTGATCCTATTATGTTTGCTCTGGATATACATATATTAGTTTATAATTCAGGGACCCAAAACTTATATGTAAGCTATTTTATCAACCAAAGGTGACAAGCAGTGTGATATATATCCCATCAGTTTTGACTAATTCAACCCTTGCCATTGAAACATTCTGCAGTCAGTGATAACTAAGGCAAAAGTGGCCCATTATAGGATCAGCATGCAGACTAGTGATGGAGCCCCACATTGGACACAAGAATTTTCAATGACAGCCTGATAACCCAGTGACATTTGATTATATAAAATGACATGCTTTGAAACTCTTCTAGCTTTCCTTCTTAAGCCTCCACCCTGAGCCTCCTACTATTATTATCACAAATATGTATTTCCTGGATATTATAGACTGTTTATGTCTCCCACACGTAGGAGGCTACTTCAACACGTTTGTGGTAGATGGAACTAAAAACTATGTTTATTATGTGCTACGTGTTTTAATGCATACATATACTGCTTCTTTAAAATTTTCATAAAAATATGTGAAACTATGTGTGGTTTTGAAATTATTCATATGAAAATAAAGTTATCTTTCACTTTCATTTTCCCATTAATTTTTATAGTGTCTTCATATATAAGTCTCTCCCTTCACAGTGTTGACACTGTAGATGAAGTCAACGGAATTTAATCAGTGTTAAAAGTTAGCAATAAGAGTGTAGCCTTCTTGTTAGGAGTAGCAGCCCTGTAAGAAGTGGAAAGGAGTGCATCCTTACTCCCCTCTGCAGGCACAACCTGAGGAACCTATATGAAGACACAGTGAGAAACCATCAGTCTACAGAGAACCCTCACCAGAAAATAAGTAAACAAGAACCTTGGTATTGGAATCCACAGCTTTCAGAACTGTGAAAAATAAAATTAACTTTGTGTAACCAAGAAAATATGTGGTATTGTCCCATGGTAGCCTCCCAAATTTAAGACATTGGAGCACCAAATTTGAGTTATTTTTTCAGAAATACTTAAGCATGTGCAAGCGGTGTTGGATCCAGATAACGGTTTGCAGATTGACATGGTTTTAATGAACATAAAAGTAATATGAACAAAAAGTTATTCTGCTGTGGTCTCAGATGGGAATGAGAAACACGTTATGGGCAACTGGAAAAAAGACAATTATATAGGGAAACTTGGTTCTAGTCTTCTGTGGAGGATCAAACATGTGAGCCTTAAACTTACACATTCAACTTAGCAGAATTCTAAACCAAGGATTGACAAAATGGTGTGGTTCCCCTTAAAAATATAGTAAAATAAGAGGATTCCCTAGCCTTGGCAGCTCATGACAAGAGCCTCGGGTGATTACTGACATCATAAATAAGAGTGTCAATTGTTAAATCAACAACAGGAGTCACTGTGCACTTGCTCCCCTTGTAGGACCTCTGTCCTTAATGTGTAGTATTATGAGAATAGTAAAACTAGTCTTCAAACAGTACTTTATACTTTGTATGTTTGCATGGATGCAAACTGTTGAAATCTTTACTTAGTATACATTTGATCTTCTGTATATAAAGATAATTAAAAATGAATCTTAATGTAAAATGCAATGGGAGAGGGAGTAGGAGATGGAATGGTTTGCAGGTGGGAGGGTGGTAATGGGGGCAAGAACTGCTAAAAGCCAAAAGTTGTACTTTTGAAATTTATATTTATTAAATAAGATTTTTCTATAAAAAAGCAACCAATTTATTTTACCAACAACATTGCTACAACCATTACCAATAACATTGCTACAAGTATCATTAATTCACTTTAATGGGATAATGGTTCATATTTCCCTCTGAGCATAAGTTGTTTGAATTAATTCTTCTCTGATCAGTGCTGATTACACTGGGTTGCACTGCCACACCTTACATGAACTGGGGGTCAAAACTCATTGGAAACAAAATTTATGTCTCCATCTCTATGGTGTCCATTAGTAGTGGAATGGGTTTCACAACACCATTAGGGGCAAAGAAAACTCTCCTAAGTTTAAAACATTCTAACTAAATGTCCCCATGCCTTGACAGCTGTAAATGCCTAATTCTTATAGCCTTTCTTGGTTTTCTGACACCACCTCCCCAGTCTGTAACCCCAGCCCCCCTTCGCCTGCCAACCCTCAGAACCTTCTCAGGTATGACTGTGATTTTTTTGAACTGAAAATATATATCTGCAGTCAAACTCCTCTCTCCCCCAATTCCCTCAGTGTAATTTGTGAGAAGCTCTCCGTGAGCACATTCCTGAGTTCCTAGTAACTGTTTTAGAATTGGAATGATGGGGGTTTCTGGTTACAAAAGTATGAGGAAGGATATAACCAGGGCATCTGTGAGAGTTCTGAACCATCTGTGTCATTTTCTCAGCCTTGATTCAGGAGTGATGCAGCCAGATCGAGATGCCATTGTCATTGACAGCTGTTGGGGTGGTCAGGATGATTGTGTATGGCTCCTTCCAGAGAGGAGCCAGACCTTGGGTAGTGAACTTCTTTATCCACACTGAGTTCCTGGGTTGAAACTGGTGTACTGGATCAGTAGATGGCAAAGGTAAGGCATTCTAGATTTGCTTGTAGGCAGCCTTTTGTGTGGATGGCAAGGACCACAAAAGTTCCCTAAGACACAGTTATGGAGTTCAGCTTTTAGTTCTTCCCTGAGCTTAGGGAGAACAGAAAGAGGAATACCATAGATAATTTCATAAGAGGAAAATCCTTCCCACTAGAGGGTGCATCTGACTCTTAGAAGAACAAGAGGTCATAGAGTCACCCCATTTTCAAAAGTTATTAAAGTCATTATTAGAGGACCTATGAAAGGTGCTGTCTAAACCACCAGCAAGTTCCCCATTGAAAGAAGGCAAATAGAAGCTGACAGCTGGGACATGATAACAATCAGGTGGGCTAAGGCCTGTTGGGTATACATGAGGTCCAGACCTATCTCTTCACAAGGGCTATTGGAAGAGACATCCTAAGGGAGGTGTGAAGCTCCTTGGGGAAGGCACCCTGTTGACCTCATTACCTAGCTGGCCTGGGAGCAGACCTGCCCTGAGTAGAAGGCAGGCGGCATCCCTACAAGGAAATCTACAGTCCTGTCTGCAATGTTGTTGACCCTACTTGGCCTTCTCCTGAACAGTGCTGGTTACTTGGGAACCTGGGCTGAGTAAGGGGCTTATTTTTTTTCCTTAGAGCCAGCAGTATCTCCGGCTCTGACTCAGCACCCCTTTAACCCCTAGGGCAGTTCCATTTCCAGTGACCCAGCTCCTGGCTGGCAGAGAAGTCAGGGCTCTTCATAAGCTGACTTCTGTGTCCATCTGATGCCTGGATTTCCACAATTAACATGCCACTTGTGGTGGACATGCGTGTTGGGTCTCCTTGATGGCAGATCACTCTACAAGCAGCCATTAATTGGCCTGCCACCTATATTGCACCTACTGCTGCCTAGCTTGCTCCTCTCTCCTCATGGTTTCTGGTGAAGGAGACGATGGAGGCAGCCTTTAAGAGGATGCAAGTGGAGGGGTTGCTCAGTCCCATTCCTAACCCTTGGTGGCCCGAGCTAGAAATCTATAGTCACAGGCATGTTCTGATGGTGGTTCTTCTACCAGGTAGACAATGCCCATGAGGAAAGCTATGTCCTCACTTTAACATCAAACATGATGTCCACCTTATCTATAAAATTGGAAGTCATTGATTAAACTTTCTCTCCCTTCATTTGGTTTGAAAAGGGAGATTTTGCCAGTTTTCTGTGCCTATGACAAAGTAAACCTAGCTGTGAAATAATAATTTAAGCTCTCATTTTGGCTATGCAATTATTACAGAAAAATGATAGCCATCCCATTTATAAGGCCTAAGGTCATACTGTACATCCTGGAGAGTCTTTCAGTATAGAGTCAGTTTCTCATCTTGAAGAGAATAAAGAAATTAGGCCAAAAAAAAAAAAAAAAAAAGTCACGCCTTCCCAGTTCACTTACTGGGAATGCTTAATATCAAAGGATAACTTAGCAGGCAGTGTTAGCTGTCAAATAACAACTTATGAAAACATGTACCAGAAGTTTCAGTGCTTCCTATACATTTCAAGACATGAGTATAGTATTTGGAAACATCATTTACATATCTAACACAACTGTAACTTCTTTGACCAGGAAACCCAAGTACAAATATGTCAATGATTTAAACATTTTAATTTCTTTCTACCAACAAATTAAAACCCACTGGTATAGGGATTTAGGTCACATGAACCTTCAATCAATTTAGCAGTTTAAATTGAGCAATCTTTTACCTTCAGCCAGTTAAAGCAGAGCTCTTTTTTTCATTTTTAAATTTTTTATTTAATGAATGCATTTTTACATAGATACAACTTTAGGAATATAGTGGTTCTTTCCTACAAACCCCCCCCACACACTCCCACCCCACCTCCCATTCCCTCTCCCATCTCCTCCTTCATTATGGATCATTTTTAGTATGACTTTATATACAGAGGACCGACTCTTTGTTTTAAGATTTTATTTATTTGAAAGAGTTACAGAGAGAGGTAGAGACAGAGAAGTCTTCCATCTGCTGGTTCACTCCCCAGATGGCTGCAACAGCCAGAGCTCTGCCAATCCAAAGCCAGGAGCTTCTTCTGGTTATCCCATGTGGGTGCAGTGTCTCAAAGACTTGGCCCATCTTCTATTGCTATCCAAGGCCATAGCAGAGAACTGGATTGGAAGAGGAGCAGCCAGGACTAGAACTGGCGCCCATATGGGATGCTGGCGCTGCAGGCCAGGGCTTTAACCCACTGCGCCACAGTGCCGGCCCCAAAATAAAGCTCTTAATAAATAAATTTTCCCATGTAGACATGTAATATGTATATGCATATAAAATAATATCCAAGGTTGAACAATAAAATGGTTTTAGCAATAGCTTCTTAAAATGTTTTTTTTTTTAAGATTTATTTTATTTATTTGAAAGAATTACAGAGAGAGGTAGAGACAGAGAGAGAGGTCTTCCATGTACTGGTTCATTCTGTAGATGGCCGCAACAGCCAGAGCTGTGCTGATCTGAAGCCAGGAGCCAGGAGCTTCTTCCAGGTCTCCCACATGGGTGCAGGGACCCAAGGACTTGGGCCATCTCCTACTGCTATCCCAGGCCATAGCAGAGAGCTGGATCAGAAGAGGAACAGCCGGGATTAGAAACCGTGCCTATATGGAATGATGGTGCTGCAAGCCAGGGCTTTAACCTGTTGCACCACAGCACCAGCCCCAAAATATGTTTTTTCTTTTTTTTATTTTTGACAGGCAGAGTGGACAGTGAGAGACAGAGAGAAAGGTCTTCCTTGTCTGGTGGTTCACCACCGAGTGGCCACTGCGGCCAGCGCACCACACTGATCCAAAGCCAGGAGCCAGGTGCTTCTCCTGGTCTCTGGTGCGGGTACAGAGCCAAAGCACTCGGGCCATCCTCCACTGCCTTCCCGGGCCACAGCAGAGAGCTGGACTGGAAGAGGAGCAACCGGGACAGAATCCGGCACCCCAACCAGGACTAGAACCCGGTGTACCGGCGCCACAGGTGGAGGATTAGCCTATTGAGCCGCTGCACCAGCCCAAAATATGTTTTTTCTTAAACACATTACCATCAATGATTAGAATTTCTTTCCCTATTAATAATCTGAATTAACCGTATATTTTCTAAGTTGGAACCTGTAATATTATTGGTTTTACCCGCTTACAGAATTGTACTAAAGTATTGAATATAATAGAGGCCAGGGAAAAAGAAGACCTTTGAAACTTGGAACTTAAAAGAGGGCACATTTAAACACAGAACCAACAATGCTTTAGCTTCATAAGCAGTAAATCTGATTTTAATGTTTGGAGAATACAAAATTATGGATGCCAAAAGACTTCAACCCTTTAAAAATCTCCATATTAATACAACGTGATCTAAATTAACATAAATCTCACTTTTGGTTTCTTTCAAGAAGTGTTGAGCTATTTTTCATAGATAGTTTGTGAAAACTGTTAACAACCCCAAAATTATTTTTCCACAGAATAAAAGGTGATAAGAATACCAAAAGTTACATTCATTTAGACACTTTATCTCTTTTGCCTTTACCCAATTTACATTCATCAGTTACACCTAGATGACTTAAAAATTTCTTCCACCTGGTCTCCATTCTCCTCGAGTGATCCTTCCAGATCCTAAGACTGCTTTTCTAGATTCTAGCTGGATCCTGACTCTCCCTTCCGATGTGAAGGAGGTGACCAATAATCGTGGACAATCATCCCAAGATGGGTGGTAGGTGTTAAAGACTGGCTCTAAGAGACTAATTAAAGCCAATTGCACTTCAGAAAAAGGAGGATTTTGCATTTTCCAATTATAGAGACTGCTTGTGGAGAACGGGACATAAAACACAAAGGTTAAGCCCCACGGCTTCCATCTACTGGGGGAGTTTCCCTCAAGGGGAGGATGCTCTTGCCACTGTGATATCTTTGTCTTCCCCTTTCCCATACATGGCTTTGGATATGAGGTGGTAAAACTATGGGCTGCTGTTATCTTTGTCCCCATCCCACTCTGCCCCTCCGATGCCACACTGGGGCTACACGAGGGTAGAGGGTCTGTCTCTTCCAGACTTGGTGGAAGGACTGGGGGTTTCATTGGTGGGTCTCTTTTAGTGACAGATTTGTGTCAAGCAACAAGAATATGTACTCCAGTTCTTAGGAAAACAGTACTTAACCAAGGGGCTGGATTCTAGATCAGGGCCATCCATTGGCTAATATATGGGAATTGTTCAGGGTTGCTGGGATTCCATCACAATATCTCAAATGGCTTGGATCAAGTGAGGATCAAAAGATCTGGTGTCCATCCAACCTACCCCAAAGGTGGGCCACTCAAGTTCCTAAAATTTGCTCAGGTGAGCTTAATGCCACAATCACACCTGTCCACAAAACCCTCTTTGAAATGCTGTAACATACACCCTAGAGGGGTATTGGCATTTCTAGGTCCTCTCCCTATTAAAAGTGAGAAGACAGGGGTTGTAATGATGAAAAGACTGATGAGCAAGACAGTTAGAACTATGAAAATAGACTTACTAGGTTGGCCACCCAACAGAGGCAAAATATGTGGCTCCTGGGGATAAGTTGGGAGCCCAGTGGCACTCACAGAGATCTGTGGAGACCTAAGGCAATCAAAACAACCATAATCCAATTCCTTAATCAGAAACAAGAATGGCCAGGAAAAAGATATAAAGAGAGATTACAGTGGATATGAAGTCCTGAAGAGTCCCCTGGTCATAATGGTCAGTAATCCAGGCCGGTAGGCTAATCCTCTGCCTGCGGAGCCAGCACACCGGGTTCTAGTCCCAGTCGGGGTGCCAGATTCTGTCCTGGTTGCGCCTCTTCCAGGCCAGCTCTCTGCTATGGCCCAGGAGTGCAGTAGAGGATGGCCCAAGTGCTTGGGCCCTGTACCCCATGGGAGACCAGGAGAAGCACCTGGCTCCTGCCATTGCATCCGCACGGTGCACCGGCCGCAGTGTGCTGGCCACAGAGGCCATTGGAGGGTGAATGAACGGCAAAGGAAGACCTTTCTCTCTATCTCTCTCTCTCTCACTGTCCACTCTGTCTGTCAAAAAATAAATAAATAAATAAAAAAGGTCAGTAATCCAGTCCCAGAGATGATCAAATGACAGAGGCTGGAAAGAATCAGGAAATAACTTCCTGCAGGGCAAAGAGAAAAATACAAAAATGACAAGACAAACAAAAAGGGCCAGTATGGCAGAACTGAAACAGGAGGCTCCCATTCCATTGTAGGTGGCTCATGGAGGGAAGTTTTGATCATGTCCAGTCCTCCACAGGAGAACTGGTTCCCAGTAAAACAGATAAGTGAGACTCACCTCAGGGGTCTCTGACTGACTCCTGAAAATGAAGAGAGGTCAGCAGACTCTGCCTTCTGGCTGTCAGAGCTTCCCAAGGTTGTCTCCCAGCCCTGGAATGTCTCAGGTGGTGCCTCCTTAGAGAACTCTCAGAGTACCCAGGGCAGAGAGGCTGCTGGCTGGTCAGTATCTGAACAGAGTGCTGATATACACAAACTTCCTGGGGCCTCCAAGTGTTATATTTGGAACAGTGAGTTACAGAAGATGCCAAATTATGGAGTCTTTATTTCTGAAAGCTCGCAGCTGCAAGACAGCATTACTCTCTGGTGTGCTATGAGGTATGAATTATGACAAAAGGCTTTTCCACAGTATTACATCCATGAAGTTTATCCCCCATGTGAATTTTCTAATGAATTCTGAGTTGATTTAGAGAAAAAGGCTTTTCCACAGTCATTACATCCATGAAGTTTATCCCCCATGTGAATTTTCTAATGAATTCCGAGTTGATTTAGAGAAAAAGGCTTTTCCACAGTGAGTACATTCATGAGGTTTCTCCACTGTGTGAATTTTCTAATGAATTCCGAGTTGATTTAGAGAAAAAGTCTTTTCCACAGTTAGTACATTCATGAGGTTTCTCCACTGTGTGAATTCTCTGATGTCTGCTGAGGTCTGACTTATACAAAAGGCTTTTCCAGGTGATTACATTTACGGGATTCCTCCCATGTGAGTTCTCTGATGTGCTATGATTTATAGCAAAAGGCTTTTCCACAGTCGTTACATGTATGAAGTTTCTCCCCTGTATGAATTCTCTGATGTGTTATAAGGTGTTATTTATGGCCAAATGCTTTGCCACAGTCATTGCATTCAGGAGGTTTCTCCCTTGTGTGAATTCTCTGATGTATGATGAGGTGTGATTTCTGGGCAAAGGCTTTTCCACAGTCATTACATTCATGAGGTTTCTCTCCTGTGTGAATTCTCTGATGTGTGATGAGGTGTGACTTATAGCCAAAGGCTTTTCCACAATGGTTACATTCATGAGGTTTCTCTCCAGTGTGAACTCTCTTATGTCCTATGAGGTGTGATTTCTGGGCAAAGGCTTTCCCACAGTCAGTACATTCATGAGGTTTCTCTCCTGTGTGAATTCTCTGGTGTGCTATGAGGTGTGACTTATGGCCAAACGCTTTTCCACAGTCATTACATTCATGGGGTCTCTCTCTTGTGTGAACTCTCTTATGTGTTATGAGGTATGATCTCTGGGAAAAGGCTTTTCCACAGTCTTTACATTCATAAGGTTTCTCTCCTGTGTGAATTCTCTGATGTGCGATGAGGTATGACTTACAGCTAAAGGCTTTTCCACAGTCGTTACATTTATAAGGTTTCTCTCCCGTGTGAATTCTCTGATGTTCTATGAGGTGTGATTTCTGGGAATATGCTTTTCCACAGTCAGTACATTCATGAGGTTTCTCTCCGGTGTGAATTCTCTTATGTGCCACGAGGTGTGACTTATAGCCAAAGGTTTTTCCACAGTCATTACATTCATGCGGTTTCTCTCTTCTGTGAATTCTCTGATGTGCCATGAGGTGTGACTTATAGCCAAAGGTTTTTCCACAGTTATTACATTCATGCGGTTGCTCTCTTCTGTGAATTCTCTGATGTGCCATGAGGTGTGTTTTCTGGGAAAAGGCTTTTCCACAGTCATTACATTCGTGTTTCTCTCCTGTGTGAATTCTCTGATGTCTTACAAGGTCTGATTTTTGGAGAAAGGCTTTTCCACACTCATTACATTCATAAGGTTTATTCTGCCTGTGAATTTTCTGATGTCTAATGAGATCTGACTTCTGGTAAGTGGTTTTGACACATTCATTACTCACACACAAGTTTTCTTGTATGTGAGCACTGTGATGGATAGAATGGCAGGATTTACAACTTAATGATTTTCCATAAAGTTTACAAGCATAGGATTTTGTCCCTATTTGTTGTCTCTGATTTATTGCAAAATGTGATTGGTAAGTGCCAGATGCTACAGACCTAATAGGCTCACCAAGTTTTTCTCTTTCGTAGGTGTGTTGGTGCTTACTGAGGTTAGAATATTTATGGAATTTTTTTTCTATTTGAGTTGCCTTTCCAACAGTGACAGACGATTTATTACAGGTCTCTAGCATATGAACCTTCTCAGATGTACAAAATTTCTCCATACTATTGAAGGCTTTCTCTTCATTATGTTCCAATGTCTGCGTCACAGACAGAATCTTGTGATGCTGACTAAGATGGTCCCAGCACTGGAGAGAGATCCCAGGTACTTTAATGGCATCAAATTTCCCTCCAGCTTCAAGTTCATCAGCTCCACTGGGCAGATGCACATTTTTAAATATATTGCATTCCACAGGTTTCATTCCTGAATAGTTTCCCTTCAGTTTTGTCATATGGCTTGAACTTGAATTAAGAAAAGCACTTAATTCAACACATTTGGGAGTTGATGTCCTGTTGTATTTTATAACATCCTGATTTAAATTTTTGCCTTTGTTTTCCTGGTTGTTCATAATTAGACAATCCCTTCTCATGGTAACTAAAATAAGAAAACATAACCATGTCAGTGAAGCATGTAACAATTTCTCCTGGCATAATCATCCAAAAGGAAGGAATTTACGCATTATCCAAGTGGCATAAGATTTAAACATAATGTATACAAGATACTTATTTATGACCACTACATGTTTTTTCTTCTTAATACAATAATATATGAATTTATAACAATAGATTTTCCAATGTTCAATCATGATATTGTTTTACTACTTAGTTTTCAAGTGTGGCAGAATGGGTTAAGGTAGTAAGATGTGTTAAGTCACTGCTTCGGATGCCTGCATCTCCAAATAGTACTAGTTTAAGCCTTATCTACTACATTTCCAATACAGCTCTCTGCTTATGCAAACTAGGAGACAGTAGGTGATGGTACATATGCTTGGAACCCTGTGAGACACTAGAGAGGCATGGGTGGAATTCTAGGCTTTAGGATATATACTCTGGCCCTAACTCTTGTAGGAATTTGGGGAGTGAGCTAATACAAGATCTCTTTGTCTTTCTATTCTCACTGTCACTCTGCCATTAACAATGATGAAACAACTCTATGAAATTTTAAAGAATTTAGAAATATTTAGTAAAAATATTCAGACATTGCCTAGCAATTAATTTTTCCCTGTGCTTTCTCTTGAATTTATTTGTATTAAAATGGTGTGTTTTGGTGCTTCTCTGACATTTCAGCCATAAAGAAGGGCAAAACTATTTCTGCATCATGTACTTGTGGGTGGAAAAGAATGAAATGTGTCTTTCCTGCAAGTAGGACCACATTGAAGAAACAATTTTTGAACAGATGGTTGTCACATGTTTACTCTTCCCAGGAAAACTGCATTTGTGAGATTTTTCAAATGAAGTCTACTTTTTCTGCAATCTATGACAGCATCCACATCTTCCTGAGGAAACATGACATCTTCAGCTTCTCAGAACTACAATAGGTGCAGAAATGTCCCAATGTACCACCTGGGATATACACTACCTATCACATTATCACATTAAAGAATTTGTTTTTGCGACCCAGGGGGTATTCATTCTTTAAAAGGTGTTTGCTAGCTCATTCTGAAATCAACAGTCTGGTTGCCTCCTCAATTCATTCTATAAATGCTCCTTTGTGATATTCTGACTTTATGGACAATTTTATTCAATTGTCAACTACCTTCACAGAAAACTTCACGTCCTATGCCTTTGTTATCTTTTTGGCTTTTTTTTTTTCCACAATGATACTGATAAATAACAGAGAATTCATACTTCAAACTCCATGCTTAAGCAAATCTGAGCCGCTCAACCTGAACACATGAGGTTGCATGGCCTTGGGACTCAAAATCTCATGACTTTCTTGCTCAGTCTAACATCACTTATTGTGTTCCTGTAAACATTCATGTTTCACTTCATGATTTCTGATGTCACAGCACAGAGGCTTGCTCCTGGTCATCTTTTAGCATTTACTTCTTGCTTGATTACTTAAGAGTCAGAGAGACAGAGAGTGAGACACAAAGAGACTGAAACAGGGTTGCCAGTCACAGGCTCGATCTTCTAATGTTCCCAACAACCTATCATTTGCTTATGTATCTGAGAGGCACAGAGATAGAGAAAAAGGGGAAAGAGCCAGTTCACATATATTGGTTCAGTCTTGAACTACTTAGAAGAGTAGGTTCTGTGCCTGGCCAAAACCATGAGTGAGAACTCCATCTAAGCAACTAGTAAAAACCAGTTTCTATAAGTTGTTCCAGAAGGAAAATGTAGGAAAGTGTAGAGAAGGACAAGATAAATTCGGTGAATGTATCTAACCTAGAAGAAAACCCTAAGTGACATAAGAAAAGTACTGGAACCTTTTTAAATCAAACAACATACTCATCAAGAACAAAAGAGTTACACACTGCTATCCCTAGATACTCTACAATGCTTGTGTCTGATGTAACAAATCGGCTGTTGACAGCAGTAACACTTGTGAAAGGTTAGTGGGAAAGCACCAGCCAACATCTGCTGCACTCTTCCTGCCGTGGACTCCCTGCCCATTGTGTGCAGACTTACCTGGAAGGCTCTGATTTAGGTCTTCTTCCAATATCCATGGCTCTCCTCCTTGCTCCAACTTGAAGATCAACTCAGGTTTGGTAACACAGAACCCTATTCATGGAAACAATGTAAGACTTTGTGAAATCACTATCCTGCATTGTTAAAAGGGCTATGGCCTGGTTCAACAGCTATGCAACAAATGTTCCAAGTTGAATCCTCTCCTAGATAGTGGTCATTCATATTATTCATGGACTCACATTCTACATCTGCCCATCATCAAATTTTATGCAGTGTTGACTTGTTTGTCAAAGAGCAAGGAAGTGTTCCCATTGGGCTTGTGACGGTGTCACTCACCCAAGGAAAGCAGGCTGCTGTAGATCTCCAGCATCACCTCCCTGTACAGGATCTTCTGTGCATGGGTCATGGCCTCCCATTCCTCCCAGGTGAAATACACCACCAGGTCTTCAAATGCCACCATCTCCTGTAACACAACACTTTGGTCAGCATTTCAACTCTCTCACAAAACAAACACTGACAGTTGTGTGCCTTGTAGAGGCTATGAAGGAAGAAAGACGGATGTGGTTACATTTGAGAGCTGTTGAGCATCTGGACAGGCACACACAATCATTCAGCAGGGAGTCACACTGTGAATCAGATCACAAAGGGCCACATCTGTCAAGGGGAACTGCAAAGTGGCTGAATAGGGGCCCAGACGGACACTTGGGTGAGCCATGCTAAGGAGAAGAATGTAGGAGTATTCAGGGAAAAACACAAGAAACCACCCATGACCCTACGATAGAATGAACATGAAGAATATACAGTCAAACTCTATACACAGTCACATCAAAGATGGCAGAAAAATGTATTTATAAAGAGAGGGCAGGAGTTAGCTTAGTGCTTACAATGCCAGCTAAGCTACCCTACCTCAGAGTGCCTAGGCTGGTTTTCCAGTACGGCTCCAGTTTCCAGCACACAGCTAATGCAGACCTGCAGAAGCAGTAATGCTGCCACCACTGAGGGAGGCCTCAAATCCACTCCTGACTCCCAGCTTCAATCCTATCCACCTCAACTCGGTGGGGTTATTCAGGGAGTGAATAAGCGCATGAGATCTCTCTGTATCTCTCTCCTTCCAATTTCTCTATCAAGCATATAAATACCTTTAAATAAAGAAGGAGATTCAAGTATACCAAGAATAGAAAATAGCTTTTGGCTTTATCTATGGTTATTCTACAGATAAACATTTGAAGACTTGAAATAACACCAAATTAAAGTGAAAACAATCTAATTATTTGCCAAAAACCAAACTTTGGAAAATCTGCAGAACAATCCGCATGTGACTAGGTCAGGGAAATGTACAGAGATTTGTTTAAGAGCCTGCAGTAAGCGTGTGATGCAGCAGGTAACGTCTCCATTGGCAATGCTAGTATCCCGTGGGAACAGATGATTGGTGTCCTGGCTGTTCCAGCTCTAAAATCCAGCTCCTTGCTAAGGTCCTGAGAAGCAGCGAAGATGGCCTGAGTGTTTAGAACACTTGCATCAATGTGGGAGACCTCAATGGAGCTTCGGGCTCCAGGTTTAGGCCTGGTGCAGTCCCAGCCATTGTGGCCATTGGATGAGTGAAGCAGTGCATGCAAAGTATCTCTTTCACTCCCTCTCTCCATTTCTCACTATCTTTGTAACTCTGCCTTTTAAAGGAATAAATAAAACTTAAACATTAAAGGAATCTACAGTAGATTCTTTTCCCCACACATTCCTGATTCTATCCATGAAGCAAGTGCAGCTCCTCAGATCTGGTAAAGACTGCATTGCCCTAACAATTTAAAACCAAACTTAACTGATTTGTGTTTTAGCACTAGGTACCTCTTACCCTTGCAGAATGCTAAGTGTCATATCAGAGTGGCACTAAATCATTGCTGACTACATCATCTGTGTGATAGGAAAAGCTATTTCAGACATTACAACCACCAAAAGCTAGCATATTTTATTCTAGCTTTCAACTCAAGCCATTTAAAAAAATCTATCTTTTTGCTATGGCAACAGGAAGACTGGAGACAGAGTTGTCTTATCTTAGATGACTGTAATGTTTCATAACCATGCCAGATTCTTCACTCCCCTTACTTGTATATATTCCCTGAGAATGACAGTTATGTTTATTTATTTCATTTTAATCAATAAACTATTATAAATCTCTGAAAATGAAAACTGACAATAACCAAGGAAGAATTAAGAAAACCAATTATAGATAATGTATTATATTTTTTTTTTTTTGCTCTTTGAAATATGTGGAGGTTCCAAAACTATACCTAGAAGACAACATGAAAGGAAGGAGCTATAAGAAAATTTATCTGGCTTCCTTCTACACGGAACTGTTAAAAATAAAACAGAATCAATAAATCATAAGGAATACAGTGAGTAAACAGCAACTTTGCTGTGGAGGAACAAACCTTTAGACATGGAAATATATAGGAAAGTTCATGTATGTCCATTAAATGGCAGAAGTTATCATGGTTTAAAGAACACATATCTACATATTTGTAAAATAATGCAATAGTAGAAAAAAATAAAATTTTAAAGTGGTTGTCCAAATAAATGAGGTTATGAAAGAGATAAACATTATATTATCATTAAAATTTACACTAAAGGAAGTTATTTTGGATTTGCTATTCTTCTTTTTTATAAGTGTTTTTGACAGGCAGAGTGACAGTGAAAAGAGAGCCGCCGGAAGGTCTTCCTTTGCCATTGGTTCACCCTCCAATGGCCGCCGCGTCCGGCACGCTGCGGCCGGCGCACCGCGCTGATCCGATGGCAGGAGCCAGGAGCCAGGTGCTTTTCCTGGTCTCCCATGGGGTGCAGGGCCCAAGCACCTGGGCCATCCTCCACTGCACTCCCTGGCCACAGCAGAGAGCTGGCCTGGAAGAGGGGCAACCGGGACAGAATCCGGAGCCCCGACCGGGACTAGAACCCGGTATGCTGGCGCCGCAAGGCAGAGGATTAGCCTAGTGAGCCGCGGCGCCGGCCGGATTTGCTATTTTTCTATTAGTGCAGAAGTACCACACAGGGATACAGTATTATGTACACTAGAAAACTTCTTGTTTTGTGTATACCTAAAATTCTACAGTAAGCATGCAACGTACAACTTCACATTTTGGGCTGAAATTGCATTGGAACAAATATGCATAATGTATATATAAGCCCAGCCTTACTCACCGCTTCTCCATCTCTGGAACTGAGGACTTACACTAGTCCCTCCTGGACCAGCCAAGATCTACAGGGTGCACCTGCATGAAAGATCCTAACACCTCAGATCTAGGAAGGTCACCTATGCCAACAAGACAGGCACCTGCCACGCCCTTCAGGGTTCCTTTGACCCCCACACTGATGTTCTCAGACACAGAAACCAACCACACAGTTCATGAGCAATGAGGACAGCCCAGGGGCAGGAGTTCTGTGAAAATGGTGGGAGTGGTTGGAATGGCGCACGCTGAGAAGGAAGCCAGAGAGACTTTCTGTGGTCCTACCCTGCTGACATCATGGGCAGGTGAGCCTACAATTGCCATCAAACAATGCACACCTCCATTAGGAGGCAATGAGTATGATCCACATATATGCTATAAAATCAGCCTCCTGACACACAGAGGATACAGCAAAGTTGTGTAACGATGTGAGATACCTAAATAGCACTGCAATTCCTCATCAAATCTTCATTTGATAAATTTACATTTGAAAGAAACATTCTATAAGTGGAGAAATTCTAAAGTGGAAAGAATTATTGGAAACTGTCATTAAGTTTATTATTCTTTTTAACTCTTTCAATTAAATTGTCATCTTAGAACTCTCATACTTATTACAGATATCTAGGAAAAAATCCAACAATTCTTTCTAGCAAAGTATTTGAAGAAGAACCAAATATTACTAAATAACTCATTTTTAATCCTTTAAAATAATATTTGAGCTTACCTAATAATACAATTTATGGGTCATCAATGGATCATATTTCACAGTGAGAAAATTATTTATATATATATATATTTAATGGAGAACTAAATACATGGCTGGAGAACAGACTGTCTGCCTTCTAAACTCTTTGTGAATATTTAAAGTTGCACTATCTGGTAATTCATTACCCAAAAGTTCCTGAAATTCATCTATTCATCACTTCTTACAGTATCTGTAAATATGTGCAAAATTTATTTTTTAACATCTGCACTCAATTTGTGGATTCCCAGAAATGAGGCAAAGAGAAAATAAAGGGTGTCATTCAGCTGTTTCACTCTTTTCCTGTCCAAAGGAGAATGGGCATGAAATTATGAATAAGTTCTTTAGGATTTGAGTAGCAGTGTCATAGGGCACTGACTGCTGGCCCACAGCTACTGGTCATTTCTTTCTGTATATAATGTGTAATGCATGAATTGGGCTGTTTAAATTCCTGTATCATCTCTGATCTGGTGGTTGCCTTTCAATTACTTTATTCTGCAAGTTGAGGGACCTCCGTCTTGAGCTGCCATATTAACTTGACCTCAGACCCAGAAGCAAATACTTACTTAGTTCTCAGCGTCATACAATTTAAACAAAAATGAAGTTGCAGGCATCAAAAAACTAGAGTGGTGCCATGAAATAGTGGATTCTGTTGTCATTTTCAAGAACCCTGCTGTCTACGGTGGTGGGCACGTACCTCTGAGAGCAGGAGTTGCTCATTTTGGAATTGCAGATGAAGATCCTGTGTGGATCCCTGAGAACAGACAAAGTGGGAAGGCCACACACAACTGTTGTTGATTGGCACTTTACACTCGCTTCCTCTCTCCGGGTCTTAAATATCGCTTCTAAGTAATGACTGGCACTTATAATTTCAAGCACTGAGTCAAAAAGAGGAGTTCTAATACTTGATTAGAACTGAATGAAAAATGAAAAATATAGTGCCTGTGATATAAAGAGAGTGATGACCACAGAGTGAAACTGACTAATTCAAGACCCCACAAGGACTAAGATTTGAGGTCAGTCTTGAGCTACTCACCACTAATGGAAATATGCATTGAGTTACCAATCAATGTTGTCTGGTCATGTTTTGCTTTCTAACAAATTGATTCCTTAATATATTCCATAAAATAGAGAGAAAACATGAATGTCAGTTTTCCTCCATGCACTGAAGTCCTGCTCCCTGAATTCAACATATTCAGTCAGTAGACATGCTACACACATTTTCTCATTAATTAACAGCCATATTCACAAATAAGTATAGAATGTATCATGCAGAAGTAAAGTCACATTTTATGTGGAATTGAATTTGGAACATTTCTGTACCCTCATGTAGACTTGTCTGTATTAATGTGAAGTATGGATATTACTGTTATGTGCCTCATACTTTTTAATTCAAAAAGCATATGAACAGTGGATATCACATACACTGTAATGGAGTTCAGAAACCAGAATAGAAAAAAAGGCAAAAGATTAAATAAAGGAAAGCTACTACAAAAACCTAGATTG